AAAAATAGAATTTTTATTGGAGGAGATTTAAATGGACATGTTGGTAGAGATGTGGATGATTTTAAAAGCATTCATAATGGTCATGAGTTTCGAACGACAAATGAAGGTGGTAAAACCATATTAGATTTTTTTTTAGCTTATAATTTTTTAATTGCTAATATCTTATTTAAGAAAAAAGAGATGAGCATCTCATCACTTATAAAAATGGATATAGTAAAACTCAGATTGATTATTTTCTTATAAGAAAATTATATCATTTAGATTGCAAAGATTTTAAAGTTATTCCGAATGAAAATTTATGTACCCAACATTGATAATTAATTTTGGACTTTAAGATGAAGTGACAGAAAATAAAAATAAAGTAAAACGATATTCTAGAATTAGATGAGGGCATTTAAAGAATATGAACAAAAATATTTTAGTAGTAATAGACCTAGTGAGGTGATTGTGACTTTAGGCGATCATGTCATTAATGGGAGTATACGTTTTAGATATATTGGATCTATTGTTCAGAGTGATGGTGAAATAGATGGAGATATTATCAGCAAAATTCAAGTTGGATGGTTGAAGTGGAGGAATGCATCAGGCTTGTTGTGTGATCGAAAAGTACCCCTCAAACTTGAGAAACAATTCTATAAGATGATGGTGAGACCTGCAATGTTTTATGGTGCCGAATGTTGGCCGTTAAAAGAGAAGCATAATACTAAGTTAAGTGTTGCAGAGTTGAGGATGCTCAAATGGATGAGTGGTTTTATCCTTAGAGATAGGATATGAAATGAGCATATACGTGAAAATGTTGGAGTAGCTCCAGTGGAATATAAGATTAGATAGAGTCGCCTTAGATGATGGTTTGGTCACATAAAACGGCAACCTTTCAATGACCTGGTTAGAAAAGTAGAGGTATTGATTTGACTTATGTTAAGAAAGATAGAGGTAGACCAAAAAAGACTTGGTTAGAAAATATTAGAAATAATCTTCCTTTATTAGATTTAAATTAGAATTTGACTTTTAATCGGACACAATGGAGAAAAAAGATTCATGTAGCCAACCCCACGTAGTGGGACAGAGGCTTGATGTTGTTGTTGTTGTTTTGTTTCTTCTTTTAATTAACTTCAGATTCCAAATAAAATTCATGAAGTTTCTAAAACCTCAAAATGAAAAAAAAAAAAAAACTATAATGAAAGAATCTAAGTCTTAGAAACGAATGGTATGTGGGATGTTTTTGAACTTCCACCATGAATAAAAGTTGGTTGGGTGCAAGTGGATTTTTGCAGTCAAACATAAAGCAGATGAAAGAATGAATAAATTTAAAGCCGGGCGTGCACCTAAATGTATGATGTTGACTATGAAGAAGCTTTATATCTTCAAACTCACTATAATTTGAGTTTTGCTTGCTTTAATGGCAGATTTGAATTTTCCTTTACATCAGCTTGATATTAAAAATATTCTCTTGATTGGAATCGGGAATCTTGGAGAGGAAGTGTACATGGAGATCACACCTATATTGGAAAATCAAAGAAATACCACTAAGGTATGTAAACTTAGAAAAAGCTTAATATGACCTCAAATAATCCCCTCATGATTGGTCTGTTGGATTCTCCAAATATGTTACAATGAGTGGGTACAATTAGAACTAAAGTTGAATATAAGGCAATGGCTGAAAATAATGTTAAATGAATTAAATTATCATGTAAATTTTTTTTTAAAATTGTAATATGATTACAAGACTGCTATAAGTATTGCAGAAAATCCTATCCACCATGATTTGACTAACTATATTGAGATAGACTAACAATTGATCTCAGAAAACTTAAAAATCGACTAACCCATTTAAAAGTATATTTAAAAATCTCCCAAACAGCAAAAATTCTCACTAATATTTACGTAGAATGAGGTAATAATCTAATCAACAACTTCTGCATGATCGACTTATAAAACTTAGCTTGAGGAGTGTTGAAATAATTCTGAAGTTGTGACCAACACATTTCCATTTATAAAAATTCAACAATTCACTAACAACAACTTATCATTTATAATAACCTAGCAATCCATAGACGATTGCATTCCATTTATAATTAGCCAGCAATTTTCGGAGCACAAATTTCTAATTTTGCAAGGTAGTTAATTCTGAATTTTAGAATTAAAGGCTAGTTTAATATCTATTTTTTTACTAGATAGTTATGTTCTACTTATTATATACAACTCATTATATTTTTTATGATGAACAAAAGAATAAAATTAAGTCATAAAATTTCTCATTATTTTCTCAGCTCTTTTCATTCTAATTTTCATGAGCAATAGATACGGTGAAACAAGGCAACTTAAAGAAATTGCACTTTTCAACAATCCCCCTATTTATAAGTTGATGCTGCGCCTCACTGTTACAATGTGGTTTCATTAGCTTGTATGAGCATTACTATTGATAACCATTATGCATGTAGAACGACTGCTATGCTTTTGGACTCTTGATGTTCATATCGTTTAGGACACAACCTTTTACTGCTGATGTAGGAATTTGCCATCCACTTCATGGTCCTCTTCTCTACACAATCCTTAAACACCTTATCACTTGATCAAGGAGGTGCCTACACATTTGATTTGGTTAACACTTGGTTGACTTGGCTCAAATATTATTTGGATAATGCTAATTCAATATGGCTAGTTGTAAGGGGCCCAAGTGCACATAAGCCCACATCTAACGAGGGTGCCTGGTCATGAAAAGAAGAGTTACATCACTATGAGGAGGGGCCAGGAAATTATAAAAATTAATTCAAAGTTTCTCTCACATTCCTTATCTATAACTTCCAACTTTTCCTCTCATCCCTACTCAATCCTTTCTCTCTTTCAAAAATCGTTTATTTTTCTCTCTGGTTGTTTCCTCACTCACTTCATTGTATTCCTCTCTTAATTTCACCAAAGGGGGATGCTTGTGAACCAAGGGATAAAAAAAAAATCATGTGCATGAATGAAAACCCAAGCTAAAATATAAAAAAATTAAGGTTTGTGAAAATAGAAATAATCACCATGTAAGATCCTACTTTAAATTTCTCTTTTCATTTCATGTTTAACATTTTTTAGAGACTCTAATAGCATGAAATCTAACACTTTGTTGCATTAGCATCATCCCACATTATTAAAATCCTTTTAGGAAAATTTAATATGAACTTCTTTTTTTTTTTATACCAAACCCTAAATAGTGGATACCACTTAAGAAGTTAAGAGATTTCAAGTGTTAAGCTCCACTTACATGATTAAACTGTCAAACCTAGACTTCACTCGTTTCAATTGAAGGGTTTTTTTATTTTTGAACCAAATTGGGCATCGAAGCATTGATTCATAAGCATTTTTTATCCAAAGTGGATTTACTAGAATTCTTCATTCCAATGTTGAATCATTGTTAATACACTTTTCTACTATTACCTACTTTGTCTCCTAAAGGAAATCATGCCACTTGCCCCAAGGGATGATGACTGTGATCCCTCCCGTTTTAGAGAGATTTTTTGTTGCTATTCACTTAAGTCGATGATGAGGTTGTTCTGTTGGCAATGGAGAGCATGATAAACTCCCCACGTTAGATAAATAAAGTATGGTGAGAGCTATGACATTTTAGAATGATGGATCGCGAGTTTGGTAATTTATTTTAATTCTAGGCTCTTTAACAAGCAATATTTAGCATCTTTAATGTAGATGAATAATTCTATGGGACTATTTACTTGGCCTTAAATTAAGCTAAGCCTAATATGCTGAGCTGAGTTAGGATTTTAAATAGAGTTAAGACACTTAATTGGTGAAAAGATAAGTTGACAAAGTAATTTGATTAGTTTTGACTTTAGCTTGTGTTCTTAATTCATAAACTTGTTTTATTAATGCATGCGTATGCATTATTTTATTCTTAGCATAAATTAATAGAATTTCTTCAACCTCCATCATGCACAAAAGATAACCGGCAAAAATTTTCCTTCAACGCAGATGGTGCCGAATGTTGGCCACTAAAAGAGAATCATACTACTAAGTTTATTGTAGCAAAGATGAGGATGCTCAGCTGGATGAGTGGCTTCACCCTTAGAGATAGGATACAAAATGAGCATATACATGAAAAGGTTGGAGTAGCTCCAGTAGAAGATAAGATTAGAGTGAGTCGCCTTAGATGGTTTGGTTACATAAAATGGCGGCCTTCCGATGACCCGATTAGGAAAGTAGAGGTATTAGATTTGAATTATGTTAAGAAAGGGAGAGGCAAACCTAAAATGATTTGGTTAGAAAATATTAGAAATGATCTTTGTTTATTAGGTTTAAATGAAAATTTGACTTTTAATAGGACACAATGGAGATAAAGGATTCATGTAGCCGACCCCACATAGTGGGATAAATGCTTGTTGTTGTTGTTGCAGATGGCTCTGTCTAACATCATGATTGAAGGTGATGGGAGAGTGTGGGAGAAAATGAAATAGGTGAGTGTGGAAATATGTTGGGGTTCATGGGTGCTTAGTTTTGGACATTTTTAGTGCTGGGGAGAGCAAAAGCATCTCTTAGTTTAGGGGATAAGCCAACACTAGGTTTTTTAAGTTGTTTGGTGCCTAAATAGAGAGCACCAAATAAGTGCCAATCAAATAGTGACTAAGAATTTTTAAACCCTCAATATTTAATAAAATTTGGTGTTATATTAAACATTTGACTACTGAGTAGGCAATATGTGCAGTTTTATGCCGCTTACTAGTAAAGTAATTAAAATATTATTTTGAGATTTGATTCATTTTTGAATTATAAAACTCTATATTCAAATGCTTCATTCTTCGATTTTTAGTTTTCTTTCCATCTTTTTTATTCTTTCCTGTTGAAGGATGAAAAGAAAAGCTTCATTGGCTATTATATATATTTTTAAGTATTCCATGTACTGCATATATTGGTTTGGATTCAGTTTGTAATTGCATTCTATTACTTGTGTATTCTTTATAGTATGGCTAACTATAGTTGCCTTTTCTTTAAATGCTTTAACAAAGGTCGTGCTGCTGGATTTTGTGCCATGTGCGCTCTACAGAATCATGTCATGGATGCCTTACAGTCAACTGGAAAAATATTGAGGCCCTTTCATCTTGTCAGGAACTTGCGATGTATCCAAAACAATTTGATGCTTATAAAGTTCAAAATTCTTTGAACTAAACTGTTTAATTAAAGCCTATTTTTCCTTTCAACAAAATGGCACGTTAAACTTTGCATTAGAATCTTCTCGGTGTTAATCTGTTAATCCTAACAAGTTGATCAGGCATATCTCGGAGTTTTCGCAATTCCAGACAAGAAGATGCGCATGAGTATATGGTTAACTTGCTTGAATCGATGCATAAGTGCTGTTTACCTTCTGGTGTCCAAAGTGAGTCACCTAGTGCTTATGAAAAGAGTCTAGTCCACAAGATATTTGGCGGTCAGCTCAGGAGTCAGGTAATATAAACATAATGGATATTAGCTAATTATGTATTTCATATTTTGAAATTTGTGTAGTCATTATTTCATGTGGCAGGTCAAATGCATGCAATGCTCTTATTGTTCCAATAAATTTGATCCCTTCTTGGATCTGAGTCTGGAAATAGTAAGGGTTGATTCATTGAGGAAAGCTTTTGCACATTTCACTGCTACAGAACAACTAGATGGTGGTGAGAGACAATATCAATGCCAGCGCTGCAAAGAAAAAGTCCAGGCTTTAAAGCAACTAACCATTCACAAAGCTCCTTATGTGCTTGCCATTCATCTCAAACGTTTTGGTTCAAGTATCCATGGACAAAAGATTAACAAGAAGGTTGAGTTTGAGCCTACCTTGGACGTGAAGCCTTTTGTCAGTGGCGTGCATGTGAGTTAGTGTTTCATCAACTTTCGACACTTTTCTTTACTGAAGATCTATTACTTTCAAATTTTACTTGTTCTCTATGTATTATTTTCCAGGATGGAGAATTGAAATATACCCTTTATGGAGTCCTGGTTCATGCTGGTTGGAGTACTCACTCTGGCCACTATTTCTGCTACGTGCGGACCTCTGCTGGCTTGTGGTACTCTCTTGATGATAACCATGTTAGTATGTCATACCCTTGTTCCTTCTCTTTTTTTTAGGGAGTTCTAAAACCATTGTTTGCCGAGCACACACCATTACAAGCTAGGCTGTGGAAACTGCTGATGCGTAGCTTTCACCATCCCCTAAGCTTGCTGATAAAGCTTAAAAGTTGTAAAAGATATGAGGGCCTTTATGAATATATCTATTTTGGTTTGATAAACTTGGCTTAATGTGGAGATCGAGGTCTACAATCATCATTGGAAATGGAAATTATGGTCATGTGTTTTTTTCCTTGGGAAAGCCTTGACCATGATCTTGTTCACATCGAATTTACTATTGGAGCTTCCTGTTGTATCAATTTTCTTTTTCTAATAAGATTTACTACTGAAATCGTTTTGTGCTATGGATTCAAACAATGACCTGTGCGCCAAGATATAAAATTAGATTAATTGACTGTTTTATTCATTGACATGTATTATACTCTTTCATGTTTTTAGTGCATGCTAGTTGTTTGTTTTACCTGCATTTCTAAATAGTAAGATGTTTCCTTATTGAGATAAGTAATTTCTTTGCTCTTTAAATAATAAATTATTAAATGATATAAGTTCTAATTTGATGACATCTAGATGTCACCTAAATCAAGTGACATCTTGATGTAGCAACATCTTGATATGCCTGTGCTCTTGCCCTTGATGTCAATCCTTTGCCTATATTTTGTATTAGTTAGCAATACTTGCATATTAGCCTCTCCCATTGCACACATTTGTGTCCTCTCGTGGAGCCAATCATTGATTTGACAGAGCATTTGATGGGGGGATCTCGGACACCTCCAAAGCATTTGTGAGAACTCTTTCTTTCAAATTTTGTGGTTTTAATTCTGTCAAATAAGACATAAGAGGTTTCGAAAGGTTTTTGTTCCTTGAAAATGAAGCTTCCTGTTTGAAGCCTATTTAGTTGTCGGTGCTTCAGCTGTTGCTCTTATCAAATCTCTATCATTTATAGTTTAGTATGGGTAATTTCCTTTCTTCTTGAGTCACTTGTGATCTTCCTGAAATGTTAGTACTCAAGGACAATAGCAAATAAAATAGTATTCAATGAAAAGTTGTTCCAAAACCCTCATTATTTGGCATCATCAAAATCTCAAACTCGGGGTCATGGGTTGCAACACAAACAACTGTCCTTTAAACAAACACAAATCCCTTTGGGTTGGTATTCATTTTTGAATGATTGAATGGGATAATGCGCCCATTAAACTATTGAAATTAATTTTGCAATATTTGTAGTTTGAAATTCTTTAAGATTCTTAATAATGTCATTACTTGATATCACTATGAATTATCTGAAAGTGCCAAGTTTAGAAACTTGTTTGACAAAGAGATTTATAGCGGCAAGTATTTAAAGGCTACTTTGTAACTTCCGGTACCTTACTCAGCACAAGCTTGTTTTATGGAAGATCTCTATTGCTTCATCTCGAAGAATATTGGATAATAGCTTGCTAGTTCTTTATGGAATTTAATTGTGTTGATCAATCGGGTTGTACTGTTGCCTCACATCTCAATTCCATTGGTCGAGCTCGTCAGGTGTTTGCAAGGGGTCCTCTTCTTGTTTGGGTTCGAGTGTCGCGCTGCGACATTATGTACCCGTGCATTGTGGCGCTGCATAGTCTGGTTGGAGATAGATAGAGAGTGGAGCACTGCGATACTCTAAACCCCAGCGTTGCGTTGTCCGTCAGATTGGAGATAGTGTGTGGAGCGCCACGGCACACCAAACCTGGTGTCACGGCCGCGATCCTCTAAACCTGACGTTGTGTCCGCGGTGCTCCAAACCTAGTGGCGCAGTGTTGTGAGTCAATATGGGAAGTTTTTTTTTTTTTTCTCATTTTTCATATTGAACTTGAAGGATTGCATCCCTTTGGTGGTTATATGCGTGCCTCTTAGTCAAATATGTGCATAAAATGGTGTATGAGTGTAGAGAAACAAGGAGAGATAAGAGAGATCTATACAATTTCTCCCATTTTTCATAATGGATTTCTTGGTGTGGTGTGGCTCCATGATTTTTTCCCGATTTCAAAATTTTTCATGTTAAATCCTGGTTTTTTTTCTTGTTTGCTGTAATTTTCTGTTTCTTGTTTGTTTTGCAGTGTGATTTTACTTTCCCAACATAAGCTCATTATTTTATTTTGTGATATCAAATCCATTTTTTATGTGTGGTATGGAAATCACTTTTTGAAATCGTGTTGTTGTTAGTTGCTAACTTCTTGTTAGGCTAAGAAAAATTCTTTTTCTCGTGTTTCTCATGATTGTTGCTATGACTTTGATATTAAAACAATTTAAAATAGTGGAATTTTAAATTACTACCATGAAAACAAAGAATGATCAGTTATGTACCTCATTAAGAAAGCTTTTTGAGGTTTCCCTACATAAACTATTATGTATTTATCTCTTAATGTATCATCAACTTTCCTCTTAATTCGCTTGGTTTTTTTGAAGCTATCACTATTGGCCTACTTGAAAATTTCATTGCATTGATGCATATATTGGCTTTGTTCAACAAATTTGCAATTTTTTTAAGATAGTTTTGCCCAATAGCAAATCATAATTTGCTATTTGTTGTTTGAAGTTTTTGAAAGTTTTGTTGCAACTTTGATTAACAGCATAGTTAGTTCTTTTGATATGGCAAGAACCAAGGAAGACAGGACACCAAATCACACATGCTAAATCTTGTAGTGCTGTGATCGCCCATATATTCTTGGTCTCGTTGGTTTAACCTAATTTGATGTCCCCCCCCCCCCCCCCACACACACACACACGAAGACACATGATTTCTTTTTGCCAATCATCTTGGAGATTTTCAACATTGGTATCCTTCGTGCCTTTGTATGCGTTATGGAGTTATATCTTCTACATCTGAGCTTTTAGCACTTGGAGCCACTCTTGGGTTTGGAATTCCTGCTGACTCTCAGATTGGAAAGCGTGCATACCCTTTATTTGGGTTCATTAGTCTTTTGACCCCCATATCTACTGTAAACCCTCTTCCAACTACCATTTCTTTCACCCCCATGAGTTCTAATGAAAACGCCAATTTTTGCTGCCCAAATGCTTGAGATTCATCAAAGCGAGTAAAAATGGTTCGGAATAAATGGAGAGAGAGAAAGTGAGGAGGAAGTTTTAATCTTATTGAGGGTATTGCATAATTATACTGGTTGGAGCTGGTTTTATTTGAGAAAAAAGTTGATTTCCGTCTGGAGAAATATTGGATGTGATCCTTTCTACTGGAATGATGTCTCCAGCCATCTTCGCTGTCCCTGAACATGCCAATCTGCCACCATTTCAAATGATCTAAATACGACTGCATCACTTTTCATGTGGCATGAATTCCATCATGGGATATGTTACCAAATACACAAACTTTAAGTTTTCCATTTCTCATGCATCATCTAAAGCCCCAAATAGTCAGGATGATGAATTATCATCTTACATCATTATTTTAGTCAGAAATTCCATAGCCGCACTGCCTAACAAACATAGTCTTAATATATTTTTTTTCTTCTTTTTCTACGTATCGTCTAAGGCGGAAAGTAGTTATCTGTGTTAATTTTTAGCCGTCGCATATTTGTTTATATTTTGCTCTGCATATAATTTGTAAGATTTCCAGTCAGCTAGATTCAATTACATCGTTTGGTTCTACATCATCATTTATATTGGTGGCTGAAATTAGGACTGAATTAAGGACTAATCTCATTCATGTGATTGTTCATGAATTTCAAAGAACCATCTTATGTAAATGAACATATTCGTGTCTGTTTTGTGTTGGTGTTGATGAAGTTTAGGGGTAGGTCAGTAAAGGATTAACCATAGAATGTGCATATTAGGGGGCCTGTTAATGAGTTCGAGTCTACATTTTTCTTTCTTTACCATACTTGGTCTATACTGACAGGAGGAAAATAGTGTGTTTGTTTTATTTAACTACATGTGTTAGTTTTTTTACATGCTAAAGTCTGAGATTGATATATGTACAGTGTGCTGAAAAAATTTATTTGAATTATCATGATTATTCCTAGACTGAAACTATGAGGCTGAAAGGTATTGACTATGTCGTTGCAGGTATCGCAAGTCAGTGAGAAGACCGTTCTTTCACGAGAAGCATATATGCTATTTTATGTCAGGAATAGAACACCCAATATTAAACGATCTGTTGAGGATAAGCTCAACGCTAATATTTCAGCAAATTCTACTGGCAATAAAGAAGCTCCACTGGGGGAGAGAAAATTAGATACTAAAGTTTACAGCTCAATCACAGCTAGAAATGATGCTATTGTTCATGATCCGCTTGCTTCTGTGAATGATAGTTCAAGGCAGCATCTATTTAAGAATCAAGAGCCTCTTGTTCAAAAAAATTGCCATACTACAACTGAAGGTTCTTGCTTGCAAACTAATGATGATGTTTCATCAAATGGGTTTCACAAAACGGTGCTGCCAATGAATAGGACAGAGTTACCTGTTTCAGTAAAGTCACAGCTTCCTTCTTTTGATACCAAGGTAACTGAATTGTTTTTTCAAAAGCTTGCAAGAGTTGGACATTGTTCTTTTGTGTTCTTTATTTTTGTTTGATTTTTTATTTCTTTGGTCTTTTGTCATTTGACTATAGAGAGGAAATGTCAATAAGAATCCTCTGGACAATGCTACCCAACAAAAGATGGAGACTAGCAGCGCACCAAGCGATAATGATGATAAAAGACCTTTGAGCCCGTCAAATGTTATGAATGGTCCTACGAAGGAAGCGACTAGGGCAGCGTTCATGGACCATCTGGTACCTGTACCTCGCACTTTCTCAGTTTTACAAGTGCTTTGGTTTGGATTTTGGGTATATATGTATTGCTTTCTGGGACATTTGATAATCTTAGTTGTAATGACTGACTCAGGTTAATGACCCTGATATCAAGAGGTGTTCGATCAGTTTAAAGGGCCAAAATGGTAGAGAGAGAATTTTAAAATTTCTGGATGCTAAGCCAGCCGAATCACTCAAGTTAAACACAGCAAATAGTTCTGCTCAGGGTGAAACTTCAACAGTTAAAGAGATGGATGGCTTGCTAGATGGTAGTCACCAGGTGATGTCAAAGAAGCAAAAAATACCTTTCATAGCAGAATACTCATATTTTGGGCGCAAGCAGTTATTCTTCATGTCTCTTAGATTGCGTAAAACGAAGAAAAAGAAAACCAAAAAGCAGCATCAAAATTTCAGGAATAAGATAAAGAGAAGACTAGTAAATACGTGCACTGATTCTCAGGGTGCCTCCACATCTGAAACTTTTAGAACTGTTTCTGTGGATTCCATAGGTTGCTTTGAAAAGGACTTGCCTTCCACTTTAAAGAAGAAATTCAAGAGGGAGGAATTCGTCAAGTCTGGTAATGATAGTATAACTTGTGAAAATCCTGGGAATTCAAAGCAATCTAGCAGGTCCTCAGGGTGCATAGAGGGAAAACAAAATGTGAAGATTAAAAATGATGAAGATGAAAACATTCTCCAAAACTGCTCAGTGAGCTTACTGAAGGCAAGCTTGAGGGAAGCCCCAGGTGAGTTTCTAGCTATTCCATACTTTGCATTTTCCTGTTTGCTTAGTTCCATGTATTTCTTCGTCTGGTTTATTTGACCTAAAGCATTCAATTCCTCGCAATGCAGTTGCAGGATGGGATGCTGACGACTTGCTGACACCTCAAATAAAAGTACAGGAAGATCGTCCAAAGAGACATATTGGTTATTTGTTGGATGAATGGTAAGTTCATTTGCCTCTCTTGCATTGCATTGCCTGTGATTAGTGAGGCCGTTTTGTATGAGCCATTAGCATATGAGCAATTAATTTGAGTTATTTTGATGTTAGATAAGGTTTGATTGATTTCTTTTAACTAATTTGAGTGGTAAACCATATAATTGAATCTATGCTTAGCCTGAAAATATAAAATTGTTTTCAGGGATGAGGAATACGATAAGGGTAAGAGAAAGAAGCTAAAATCAAGGCAATGGTTTGATGGGCCAAACCCATTCCAGAAGACAGCCGATTTGAAAACACAGCAGAGGATGATGAAGGTTGTCCAGACCAGCTTTGGAAAAGAGCCACTGAGAATATGATGGAGATAAAATGAATTATTGTTTGTGATCATTGTTCAATTTTGAAATATATCTTTATTTTTATTTGCAATTTTATTTTTGTTAGGGGTGGCAGTCCTCATTTTGTTTTGATTGTAGAATCACTAAATTTATTGATGGAAAGGACTTGCTTATTTTGGAGATTTTGCAACCAAGTTAAGTTGCAGAGTTGCGGTTTGTGCCATGTAAATTTGTATTCATTATAGTTTTGTTTTGAGTAATTGACTTGCATATGGAATGTTGCAATATTTCATTTTTCTTGTAGTTAAGTTCATATTTGTCCTATTGGGTTGACTGAGCTCATATGAATTTTTTTTTTTTTGAAATTTTGAGCAAATTAAATGTAAATTTACATACCCATAAAATATACAAGTTTTAGATAGAAAATTTAAAATTTGTTAAAATTCTAGGCTTTGTGAACATAGTTAAATATGTTTAATTTTTTTTTCTTATATCAAGTAATATTTTTATTATTATGAGGGATTTATTATATATCGTATAATTTTTATATTTTTTTATAAGTAACATTTAAATCATTATATTTATTATAAAACATTGAAATTTTGAAATAATATAAAAATATATTTAATATTGATTTTTATAAAGTAAATTATTGTTCGATGTGATTGAGAATTAAAATAATATAAAAATAAATATAAACATTTAGGTTTAAGATGTCTGATATATTTGACATTTTATAAATATGTAAAAAGTTTTATAATATTTATATACATACCTGCATAATGTATTACTTTATTATAATAAATATTTTAATTAAAAACTTATGAGTAAATAAATTCATATTTAAATTTGATTAATTAGTTAATTTTAAATTATGAGTAGCTTGAATTAGATTCATTTACACTTCTAAGTACCCGTTAATAAAATGATATCTTAGATTTCATTTTCCCAACTTTCTTATTATGTTATAAATTTATAAAACAAATTTTTAATGCAAAATTTTTTTGATCTAAAAAATTATTTTATGAAGCAATAAGAAAGTTTTCCCAATAAGACCGTACATTAGTAGAATCGAACATCAAGTTATCCCCGGCAATTTACATTAGAAAAAAATTGATATCCTTTGCACTTTGTTTCTTCTCCTTGTCAAGCATCATTTGCATAATTTCTAAATGTCACAAGGCAACTATGGAAACCCTTCAAGTAAAACCACTTTTCCTAATAAGAAAAAATTAAATCATTTATAAAAGTCAAAACACTTCAAGTGCGATACAAAGTACTTCTACCATGAAAAACCTTACATATAGGGTCAGTAACTATCTCATTCAGTAGGACATCTAAACCCTCCAATTGCACTATTAAAAACTTGTTTCCTTTTACGAAGGAACCTACCTTCATCTGATCATGATTAGCCACCATCCTACCCTTAGAGCTGCTAGTTCCTTCTTTATTTTCATACTAACCTCTAGAATAATGCCTCCCTATAAGCTATTGGCCTTTCCCACTTTTCCTAATAGATTCATTATTTCTACAAAATGCTAACTCAACAAACTAATGCTTCCACAATGGTCTATCCTTGAAGAGGGATATCATCATTGGAAGGGTCAATGGATAGAGAGTAAAGTGGTATTTTAGTCATCACCTTCTCCTTGAAGGCAAGGTTCTCTAGCTCTTAAGCAAGCATCATGACCTACTCAACCACAACTCCCTCAACTTGCTTTCCAAGCATGATGTGAGTTGCCACTTTGAAGGTTCAATATCTGAGGTATCAAGGGAAGGTGTGTGGTTAACATTGAAGGATTAGTAATAAAAGATTCCTTATCAATAAATATTAAGGGGATGCTAAGATACCATCATGAAAAATTTTCATCTTAGTATAAACCCTGACACCAACTATATAAAGTTAACATCTCAAACTCGCTTGATGGATGCGTCATCAACTTGCTCAAGGAGAAGTAGACTATATATTTATTTATAGCAGACACTCGTTCACCTCATAGAGCTCACTTCAAAAACATCAAGTAGATTTTTCTTCATACCTTAACTTACTATAGGTGTTTGCTCAACTACATAAGGAGTTGCAATAATTTCAGTAAGCACAACCTCCTTAATGAGATGCTTTCACTAAGTACCCCAAAGGTATTCATCCCACCATCCTCGCATTTAGATACTCCTCATTATTGGAGTCAGAGTATAGTTCAACTCTTTTAGGGCATACCACATTGCTGCTAGCAGTGGCGAGTTTAATAACTTTTTCTATCTTAGTCGGCAAAAATGCATTCACCTTCACTACCCTAAGTTCAATTGTAACTCTCTTTTTGAGGGGTTGGTGGGATTTTTGGATACCTTTTATGGTATGTGCATTGCCCTCAACCTATTTAATCGATGGTGGTTTACTCACACTCCTCTATAATTTGTCTGCTCTCTCTTAACTAAAGGACACCCTATTGATTGTTTCACACTTGATAAAGCTAACTCAGTAGAGCTCATTTTTATAACACTAGTTGTCTTCACTAGCTCTTTTCAAATGATTAAATAAGTGAAGGATCTTAAATGTGAAATCATTTCTTATAGGAATTGGACAAGAGTGGTATCACATCATTATCATTACTGAAAAATAAGTTATTAATTTTTCATTTACTTTATTATTATACTTTGGTATCCATATTTAATACTCATCATTAATTCAATTAATTTTTTGGTCACCCACCCATCAAAGAGTCAAGTGAATCAAGGAACTTAACAGTTTTTTGCATATCCTTTTCAGGTACTTAGTAGGTGCTTATAGAGTCATGGAAAGAGTAATTATACTTAGTTAATTCTACAATGGAGCTCGATCAATGATTATAAGATATCACTCACGACTCATCACTAACCTCATAAAGGGTTAGAACTACTCGTCATCATCCACAACTGAGCACCATCATTAGTGCTAACCAACTCAACTATACGAAGTGCCCACTGGAGACTCTTAGCTCACCCTATCAAAATCATATACCATGGAGATCGTATTTCAAATAACCCAAGCTCATTATCCCTCCTCCCTAGAATATTTGAAGCTCCAATATAGGCCACCAATGACTGCAAGGTATTTACTAGTTATTGGTCTCTCCAGCATAATACTCGCTAATGGAATCACTCATGCACACTCATTTGTATACACTCATACTTCTAAACTTACCTAGAGATAGACTTTCAATGGTTATGCAAATATATTCTCCTTTTCATTAGCCAAAAGATGACACGTATCTAGGGTAATCTAAAATAAGAATCATTAATATAAGATGTTTTTTATTTTTTTTTAGATGCAGCCTTTCTTTTAGCTCTTATATCCTTATAAATAAAGGATGATGAGGTGCACTTTGGATCTTTTTGGCTCTTCGGATCTTTGGAAGCTTGATCTCTTATATTATAAATTTTGATAGGAAACTATTTTCTCCATTCTCACATAAGTTTTCAATTCATTTTCTTAAATTTTGTTAGATAGTAGGGTCAGATGTTATCAAAAAAAAAAAAAATCCAATATTCCCCAATATAAGTACAAAAAAGTTGAGAAATCACATTAGTTAGATGCCAAAGTGAATAGAATTTAATTGCATGAGAGTTATTTAGAAATCATAAAACTCCATCATTAATGTATCAATAAAATGGATAGAAGCTAAAGACACAAATGGAACTATTAGAGTAAGATATCATTTAAATATCGTGATTGAATGTTTGGGGGTAAAATAATTTTGAACTTCCAGTCTACGCTTTTGATGTTTGATGGAAAAATGGGATTTTTCCTTTAAAATCGTCTGATTGGATCTCTCGTTAACAATGGAGATCTTGTTATACTCACCTTAAATGTTGAAAGCAACCATTCAACGAGCAAGTAAAAGAACCATTATGATAATCTTATTTGAAAAAAATTCAATGTGATGATAAATCTTCATAAATATTTTATTATAGTAGCTTTTCTGCATAATTTTTTTTTTACTTTAAAAATTAGCAATTTAAATTTTTTTTGGGAGTTTTAGAGGTATAATCCAAGTTGATTAAGTATATAACATAATTATAAAATGAGGAATCAAATTAAAACAAAAAAAAAAGAGAAAAATACATATTAGCAAGCTGCATTAAAAAAGGTAACGCTTAAAGAAAGAGCAAATAAAATAACAATAATGCATCAACTAAAGCACTAGACTCAGAATATGCAAAAGAACTCTCAAGAAATAAAAATTCAATCACTCCCTAGTTGCCAAAATTATTTTCCAAAGGTATGGGGCTAGCTGACAAGATGACCATCCAAAGGGAAGAAGACTAACAAATAATCTTCAAGAAGAAGGAAATCATTTATCATTAGCCATTTCTATAATTTCAATTCTCCCTACTTGCAGTAGAAAAGTGAACAACCAGAGGGTAAGTGATGGGGGTTGTGGTGTGCGCTTTTGAATTATAAAAATATTTAAGGCTCTTTATTTCTCCCCTAAATAATGCTTAGTTTTTTTTTTTACATATTAAAAATAACTAACTGCACTTAATATGCACAAGTATACATGCCAAATAAAGTAATAAATTGATAGAATAGTGTCAAACCCATGAGGAAGTATACTTTTTAGCAATCAACCACTACTATTTACTATAATTATAAAATTATTCTACTAACATAGAAATGTTGGTTATGGAGATTCAATCATTTGATAAAAATAGTAAAAAAAAAGGATACAATATTTAAATAATATATTTGTGAAAGATGAATATAAATTATATATCTTCCTAATAAAACTCTTATTTGTAATATGATTTAGAGCATATGCATTCCTAGATATCTGTTAAGATTATAGGGATAAAAATAATATCGGTTAACCACTCCTTAAGAACCTAGCATATTTTACATCATATGTCTAGGTACACAAACATATTATTTTAGTATTCATGGTTATTTTTGCATTCCTCTGTAATGGCTATACATCACACTAGATTTTAACTACATATATAGCCACTATGTGCATTAAATAAAATTGAGAAAATATTGAAAACATCATTCGACTTTAGAACATAAGAATCTTCATTAGTACTTAATATATTCTCTACATCATCAATTCAAAATAAGAGAATTAGCCATACATTAAAGAAAAGATAAACAAACTCATTTTAATTGAAATCATAGAATAATAAAAATTACAAGAGAATGATATCACCAAAAAGGATCAATGTATCTCCTATACACTCCTTCCTTAACATACTTAGTTATTCTAATAAATACTACCTAAAATACTTTAATGATTGTATCCAGAACTTCTCT